GCTAAAAATCAAAACTTGAGATAAAAAAATTATCTTTCTCCACAAAGTTTCAGCATAAAATAAAAACATACAATTTTTATAGCAAGAGAATACCTTTCGGTTGTGTCTCAACCAATATCAGCTAAAATTCTTGGCAAATTGATAGTGAAAAAGGGAAAAGAGACATAAATTTCAATGGTGGGAGGAGCAAGACCAGTGATAGTGCTTGGGCTTTTGGACAAAAACCCTAGTACCCAGATATCCCTTTTTCCTTTTTTTTTACTTTAATTATTTATTTTATTTTCTAAGAATAAATGATTAATTGAAAATTCATTAGCTTTAGGGCTGATTTGACACAGTTTATAATTGACTCGACTTAGCCAACATTAGATGATTGTTAGATGGCTAGATTTTATTTTTTCAAATACTATAGTTTTGTTTATTAAGATACTTTTTCTCTTTTAATTTGCGGAAAATATTATATCATAGGTAAAATTCCATTATGAAAGCCCGACAAAATACTCTCCATGACTGATATTTCACATAAATAGACAGTACTAATAATTAGATGTAACTATATGTAGTCATTTAGTAAGGAGTGATCAGTTGAACACCTTTTATTAAACATTTATATTATATAGGAAAAAGGGTTAAAAATCTTCTTAACGTATGTCAAATGGTTTAAAAATGTCCTCCTTCCATCTTTTGGTTTAAAAATGCCCCTAACGTTTTCTTAAGGTTTAAAATTGTCCTTTATTAACAACTCACTAACATGATAAATGATGAGTCATTTAATTAGCCAAATGACTTCATCTTATTGGTCTAACTAATTTTTAAAATCCAACTCAACGACCCGACCCATCTATGCTACAAAAATTCAAGGAAAAATTACTTATCTAAACATACTTCACTATCATATATACTTATTTTACCTTTAGTTTAAAACAATTACATATAATATCACTTTTAATAACTATATCATATATTTTAAAAAATTTAATCAGTTATACAAGTTCCTTAAATATGGTGTTGAATAATTATCTTAAAATTTAAATTCCTTAATTTATGGTTGATTAGCAATTCAAATTATCTCTCACGTCATCCCCTCTCCTCTAATTTATCGTCACTCCAAATGATCAACCTACTCTCTCTCCTAATTCTTCCACTCTCATCGCATCCCAAAATACTCTCGGTACAATGATGACTCCTTCACCGGAGCAGAAGAATGCATCAATGGGCGTGTCTTCTCTAAGACTATCAACATGCGGAAGTCTAATATCTAATTAATTATAACTTGAAGAATCAAACTTTTGTATGATATTGGACTGATTTGACAGCAAAATACTTATTATTTTCTTACTAGTGGCATCAATGGCCACTTTTTCTATTGCCAAAGATGAGAGAGACGAAGGGGAAAGGGAAGAGAGATGGTGGTAAAAATATGTATCTAGTTAGTTGTATGTGTATATACATGTATCTAATTAAAAATTTGCGTATCTCATAAAGTGTACATGTATCTGAATTAAGATTATGTACCTATGAGAAAAAATTCTGATGCTCAAAAAAATGAGAAGAAATTTATTATTTTTTTTGAAATTTTTGGGAGAGGAAATTCATGGAAGAATTGGAGAAGAAATTAATAGGAAAACGCGTGATTTCCTCCTAAATTGATGTGTTTATACGTTACTTTCCATATTTAGATACATATAATTAGATGTATCTGCTTAGCACGTATCTGAGATACATGTATCTAAACTACCTTTTATATTTAGATACATATAATTAGATGTATCTGCATAGCATGTATCCAAGATACATTTATCTAAACGTGTTATGGACATGTATCTGAAACCAAAATATGATAGAAATTGTAATATCAAAAACTCACGGGAAGAGAGGTAATTTGCTCCTAAACTAGTGGGATTTATGTTGTTTGCCCTGAGTTCATACATCCTTCAATTTATCTTCTTTTTTTATTATTTCTCATTAGTTTCAAGAAGAAAAAGAACGAAGAACTACAAATAATAAGGTAGCTAAATCTTGAATTTGTTCCTGATTGACATTGAAACGTTCTTTTATGCTACATCTGATTCCCATGAATCCACCCCCGAATTCACAATTGCTTCTAACTCGAAATTATGAAGGACAATTGAACCTCGATTGCTGAACTTTTGATTTACACACAATTATCCCTTCTCTTATCACTACAAACCCACTATCTCCGACGTTAATCGCGTGTAATGCGTCATCGGAAAGAGACAGAATACAAGCAGTAGAAGAACCCTTTGCCTTTGTATTAAAAAAAGCTTCATTAAGAACTTTCATCAAATTCCGTGAGGCGGCGTCTCTTCGGAGGTTAATATGAAAATGGGTTTTAGGGTGGGTTTGAATTTTGGGCAAACAACATAAATCCCACTAGTTTAGGAGCTAATTACCTCTCTTCCCGTGAGTTTTCTGTATTACAGTTTCTACCATATTTTGGTTTCAATGTCAGTCAGGAACAAATTCAAGATTTATCTACCTTATTATTTGTAGTTCTTCCTTCTTTTTCTTCTTGAAACTAATGAGAAATGAAAAAAAAAAAAAAAAAAGATAAATTGAAGGATGTATGAACTCAAGGAAGAAAGAAGAGAGTTAGGATAAATGGGAACAAAAGACCCAAAATTGATTGGGCTTATTGGGTCAGATTTGAAATGGGTTTCTAATCAAGTGAGTCATATATTTTGAAATAGGTAAAGAAAATTCATGTCACAATTGCCATGTCACTGTTATGTTAATAAAGGACAATTTTAAATCTTAAAAAAAACTTTGAGGGTATTTTTAAACCAAAAGGTAGAAGGAGGGCATTTTTAAACCATTTGAGATACGTTAAGGGTATTTTTAACCCTTTTCCCTATTATATATAACAAATTATACGAAGTATAGAAGTCAATAATTATTTTTTATTTGTAAATATTAAATCTTGAATATTCCTGACGAAATTTTTGACTTCATTATTGAATAATGTCATCTTTTTTTAATAATGAGAATACTTACTATTATTCAAGATTACTTCAATTTTCCTTGCACGCAATTCACAATCTTGACAAATTAAAATCTCTATTTGGTAGTTCATATAGTTTTCTTTATCCATTCTATAAAATATGGAATCAAATATTCTATAACGTATGTGTTTGGCATAAATGTACATATTTATATTAGTTACCAAAGTTTTTTTTGTTGGTTTAATTATTATGATTGCCTAAATAGTGAATTTTGATGTCTAGGAGTAATTTGCGTAAGATAAATAAGAAAAAATTGACATGAATAATGCCACTAAGGTAAAGAAAGGAGAGAAGCTAACAAGAAGAAAAAGATGATTTTTTATGTATTTTCGATGGATATATAAAAGTAAAATATATTTTTTAACCTTTTATTTATCCAAAAGTGATCTCTTTTAAGGCCTCTGATAACTAATAATTAAGCAAAACTATGCAACCTTGAATTAGAATATTGAAGTGTGAAATCTAATCGCGATGAATGATTGAATTGTAGGTGTATTATACTAAAATGACAATTTCAAGATTAAATTTATATTTTTTTATTAAAGACATAACTAACCTCAAGATATATATATATATATATATATTTATTTTTTTTATTTTTTTTTATTTTCAAACTTAATTGGAATAAATGATTCTAAACAATATAATTCTAAATTTATAATATCGAAATAACTTTATCTACGAATCAAACTACCCCTAAACGCACTTCAATTATGACTACTTTAGTTTAGAATGTTTAGATATAGCAAATGTATTGCCTTTTGGTGTATTAGAAAAAATAATACTTTTCTTTTTGTCCAACAATCCATTCACCACCGTGCACATCACACACACTAAAAAGTTATTCTTTATTAATAAAAACATACATGAACAGAAATTCCAATGTAGCATCCATAGGTTGCCTATTTCAAGTCCATAATCAGACCATCCATTTTGTGAAAAAAGAGTAAATATATTGTTTGCTGGCATGTTAATAATAGTATAATTTTACAAGCTAATAACATCTTCATATCTTATGCTGCTCTCTGCAAGGCAATTGGGGTAAGCTGGCAAAATTAAATTTAGTGTTACATTTGATTAGTTTGGTAGTATTGTTAATTTAGTGTACATTTGATCAGTGTGCTAATATTGTATCACATTGCATAACTAATTTTGCTATACAATCAGACCACTCTATAATAGTCATATTTTCTATGGAACCATGATTCATGTTACGTTATATTATATGTCTCTATAACAACATTAAGTTAAAGCAATCAAACAATATTGGAACAAAATGATGTTGTTATAGAGAGGTTTCATTGTATCTCCCATTTGTAATAGATTATGCAAAGTAAATTACGTGAGATACCATATTTTCTAATACAAGTCCTTTTAAAATAAAACTAGACACACCAAAAATTGAAAAAAGTTGTACTCTCAGAGTAAGTCACTGCATAAGAATCTGCATACATGTATTATAAGTTACAACCTTTTTAGTGAAAAATATATTAGATATGTATATATAAAAAAAAATCCCCCCTTCCCATATAGTTATAATGTCATATCAACAAGTAACAAGCAGCCTTTTCTGCTCCTTCAATCTGAATTTGAAGGAACTCCAGAGTTTGGCAATCATAATGCAAGTTTATTATTCTTCAGAACTATTTTCAAGAATGTACACAACATAAAACTCAATAGACGTAGTCTTCTTCTTATACTCATGCCAAATGATGAATTTGAAGATCGTGCTACTAGGTAGCCATCAAATATACTGAAAATAATATGTGCATACATCATGCAATCTATTTACCCGAAGCCAGAAGCAATTAACATTCACCTCTATAAATTTTTGTATCCTCCTCCACAGACACCATTTTCTCTCAAGTACATAAAAAGAAAATGGTTAAAAGACATCCAAGACCACCTTCACCAGAAGGTATAGTGCAGCTGCAAACGAAATGCTTGTGGCAGGTCGAATTTTCAGGCTACATAACTCTCTTTCTAGTTCTGTATTTCAAGAAATTCATATTTTTGCTCAAGCAAGATTCATTAAGGAATTGTACTTGTGGTTTCAGCTAAACAGTTTTATTCATCAAAATTCTTGGTGTTAGAACCAGAATTACATTTATTTATCAACATTTCGAATGCCATGATAACAATTATTTAACTCAGAACATTGGTGCAACATGCTTCCTCTTCCATTTCAGAGTTTGGCCCATCTCCTCTGTTTCTTTAGTGCTTGTACTCCATGGTGACTTGTATTGGGCCATTCTTCTCTTCTTTGCTGCCACTCCCACAGTATCATCAAATCTCTGCAATAAGGAAAAGAAGTATGAAAGAAAATAATATAAAGTATCCAACAGAATTTATTTTATTCTTAACCTTGTGTGTTGATTAAAACTCTCAACTTTTTGATACAAGCAAAATATCAAGAGTGATCTACCCTATGAGTTCCCTGGCACTTAACTCCCTTGGCATCTTAGCTTTCTCTCTAGTAAATGCTCCCTTTGGAAACTCAGAAATAGGAAAGTCAGCGAAGACTACGAGATCAAAGAAGATATTTGCATCCTCTTGGTGTATTGAAGATTGAAGGGCTCTCGTTAGGAGATTTTGGTCATGAACAGATACAAACAGGCTGAGAGGGGAATAGCAGATGCTCTAGCAAGATATTGGATACAGATGATGTTTAGGACTTACAATTTCCAGGTATTTAGGCCTTAGCTTCCCAAATAGGGGAAAAACAGGTCCTAATTCCAATATCATATTCCTCCCAAATATTTTCTCACTCCAAAGTACCACTATTACTCTCTTGCTTAGATGGTGCAAATTCGAGTCCTAAATGTTAATAAGGATTTGCATAAAGTCGCTTCAGAATATTAGGGTATAAGAGATGGCTAACTTTTACCACGGTTTGAAAGAGAAGAAAAATAAGAAGAAAGAGGTGGAATGATCAAAAGACAATAGGATTATAAGAATTTTCTTTCTAATGATTTTGACGACTCCAACAAAATGAATAAATTTGCTTATTATAGTTTGGATGTTACAAAGCTTCAGATAAGTAGTAGTACCTTGAGGCAGACGCCTTCATAAACATCACAAATGGGATATTCAGCTGGGCAGCAATAGTCTGATCCATGACAGCAAACACCATTCTCATAAGGACAACACTTATGACGGAAGCATATGCCAAAGAAATACAAGTCACAACAACATGTTTGATATTCAGGACAAGAATACCAGCCTCCACATTCACTTGGTTTTGGATAAGGTGGTGGAGGGGGAGGAGGGGATGGCGGAGGAGGTGGTGGAGGGGATGGTGGAGGAGGTGGTGGGGAGGGTGGAGGGGGTGAAGGGGGTGGTGGAGATGGCGGAGGGGGCGGAGGGGATGGTGGAGGAGGTGGTGGGAAGGGTGGAGGGGGTGAAGGGGGTGGTGGAGATGGCGGAGGGGGCGGAGGGGATGGCGGAGGAGGTGGTGGGGAGGGTGGAGGGGGCGAAGGGGGTGGTGGAGATGGTGGAGGGGGCGAAGGGGATGGCGGAGGAGGTGGTGGAGGGGGCGAAGGGGGTGGTGGAGATGGTGGAGGGGCGAAGGGGATGGCGGAGGAGGTGGTGGGGAGGGCGAAGGGGGTGGTGGAGATGGTGGAGGGGGTGGTGGGGATGGTGGAGGAGGTGGTGGAGGGGACGGTGGAGGAGGTGGTGGGGAGGGTGAAGGGGGTGGTGGAGATGGTGGAGGGGATGGTGGAGGGGGTGAAGGGGATGGCGGAGGAGGTGATGGAGGAGGTAGAGGGGGCGAAGGGGATGGCGGAGGAGGTGATGGAGGAGGTAGAGGGGGCGAAGGGGATGGCGGAGGAGGTGGAGGGAGCGAAGGGGATGGCGGAGGAGGTGATGGAGGGGGCGAAGGGGATGGTGGAGGAGGGCATGGTGGAGGGGGCAGAGGGGATGGTGAAGAAGGTGGTGGAACAGCTGGAGACGGATAAGGTGAAGGTGGAGGATGCGATGGTGGATGAGGTGGTGGAACGGTTGGAGATGGATAAGGATATGGTGCAAAAGGTGGCTGAGGGGATGGGGATGGAGGTGGTGGAGGGAATAGTGGAACGTCTGGAGATGGCGGAGGGGATGGTGGAGGAGGTGGTGGAACGATCGGAGACGGATAAGGAAATGGTGCAGAAGGAGGTGGAGGGGATGGTGGAGTAGGTGGCGGAATGGCTGGAGACGGATAAGGAGATGGCTCAGAAGGTGGTGGAGGGGGCGGAGACGGAGATGGTGCAGAAGGTGGTGGAGGGGGAGAAGGGGATGGTGGAGGGGGAGAAGGGGATGGAGGAGGTGGTGGAATGGCTGAAGATGGGGGAGAGGGCAGAGGGAACGGTGGAGGAGGTGGTTGAACGGCGGGAGATGGATAAGGAGATAATACAAAAGATAATTCCTTCGTCGGATAAGAAGCCAATGAATTAATGGCACAAACACCATATGGCAAATCACTGTTTCTTCTTATATATCCATACCCCTCCACTCCCCATGATGTACCCCATGAGTTCTTGATTATCCAGTAGTCATCGTCTCCTTCAGAACCATATCCTACTATTAGTACTCCATGGCTCAAATCATCTGGACTACTAGAGCAACTTCCATCATAGATTCCCTGCATGTTTCCATAATACAATAGAACAAAGTGCACGTCATTTTGGGATTCCTGAGAGAAGAAAGGGCAAAGAAATGTGTGAAAAAGGAGTAAAAGATAAGAGTACCCCTCTATACAGCTGAAAATCAGCACTCGTTCCATCGATGCCAACACTGACAGGTTGTTGAGCAACAGCACAAAGAAGGGCAGTTTCCTCCTGTGGAACATCTCGGTATCCATCAATTGTTACAACCTTGTGGTTCACCTGTTGAGGAACACTGATCAAAGATTTTCTTTTAAAGAAGGATATTATTTTGAAAATGAACAGAAGATTTGATATGAAATTGATCTGTCATATGCCTTGGTGATCTTGCATGCGCCTTGAGAGGCCGTGTATGGGTAATCAATTTCTGAAGCAATGCCGCCACTGTTGATCACCCACTCAAAAGCAGGGTCCATATATCCACCATAACAGCCGGTATTGGTTGAATTATCACAGTTGACAAGTTCTTGGACAGAAAGGCTAATAAGTTCACCAGTAATTATTGCATTTATTCCCTCCACGGCTCCACAAGCTGAAAATGCCCAGCAAGCTCCTGCAAATGTTTAGTAGAAATCAAGGTAATTACTCCACTAACATAGATTTAAAGACCATGGATCATCTGGATTGCTCCTTATTTGTCACGAAGTTGCAAAGCAGGAAACTCCCATACTATTCCATTTAGACTGTAAATTAGCTCAATTAGCAGATTGCCTATTCTGCCTTTGACACTACTTGTGTCAAGGAACATAATGCATAGAAGCTGCCCAGATATAAAACATGTACCTAATGTAAGTCAGTTTGACTTCGATGTGCCCTCCAGCGCTATTTATAAACCACCACAAAGTATAGGTATACGAACCGCTCAAAAAACCAGGATATATACATGAAGAAATATTTCTCTAAAACAAAGCACAAAAAAATTATTTTGGTTGGATCCTGAGCAAGATTGTAGTCAAGCTTGAGGCTTAAAAGAAGGTATTCATATCTTCATTTTCCCATTCTGTGTTACATAAGTGAAGAGACGGAAGATCCAATAGCATATCTTCCGAGTGGAACCTAGTTATCAGTGTTAGTTTTTAAATTCCATCATTGGCAAATCAAATTAAAGAAACAACTGCACCCTTGTGCGCTATAATATGAGAGAAACGGAATTATCCGCTGAATTACCCTTTTTATTCCTGTCAATTGAATTTTCAAATCGTTCAACTTCCTCTTTTACTATCCAGCGATCTACTGAACAGAAGCACCATTTATTTCTCAGTACTATGCTGTAAACTTCACAGCCACCTCATGAATTCAATAAGCAACAAGGTAATACTAAAACTGTAAGAGACTTAAAGAGAAAAGTGAAGCAGAAACTCTATTCCCAACCCTTACTATTCAAGTGTTCAGGCCAACTGACTGGCAGACAGAAAAAACAGCATCTAGCTATTGATAACATGATCAATTGAAAAGGATAAAAGAGCACAAGTGAGCTTACCACATAGTTCTTGGTTCTTGACCTCGGTGACAGCCCCGTGTTTCCTCCAATCCCTCGAACGAGGAGCATCGCAAGAAATTGAAGTTGGTTTTTCTTCCACATTCTTCATCTGAATAATCTTTCTCTTGTTAAAGGGTATCTTTATCTTTGAACCATGAACTTCCCTGAACTCTTCATTGCTCATATCAGCAAAATTGGTCAGACCAACGAAATGTTCTGAAGCTGACTTCCTTTCTGAGTTCTTTTCCACTATATACTTCACATTCCATCTAAACTTCTCCAACCTCATTTCTTCCTCTTTCTCATCCTTGTAAACTTTCCCATGCTTCTGTTTCCATTCTTGGAAAAGTTGGAAAACACTTTCATCTGATATGAAATCATTTGATCTGTCTAATATTGAGAAATCACTAGAAATACTATAAACTTGAGATGATAAAGCAGCCAAGATCAGAAAAAGAAAAAAGAGAAGATAGGTTCCTTCTACATTTTTCATTTTTTCATTAACATCAACCATGAAATGATTTTGAGGCACTTCAATTTATATATATACTAGTACTACTTTTTTGGACAAGGCGCCTTTTAATGAGATTCCCAATCAGTCAATGCCATGATATGATATGAAGAATTGTGGGAACAGTTAGCTGTTGTTCAGATTTCAGAAATGAGAATAATAGAATTGTTTAAGAAAGAAGAGGACAGTAGCAGGTAGGTGAGGATATTTTAAATTAAAAGCATTTTCTGGTTATTATATATCAATGAACTGAGCTACTCACAGTAAATTCATATATTTATTGCTTGTCCCCATATACAGCGCTGGTGACTAAAATAAGTTAAGCAATATTTGGAAGCTTAGATGATAACTTTTTCCATGTAATGACTCTATTTCATTGATGTGATGCTCAACGATTCAGTCAACTATTTGAAAGAACTCTAATTTATTTGAAGCTTAAGAAGTTCTATGCACTAACTACGCAATACAATATTTACATAATCAAATGGTAAACTTTTTAAATTAAATTACAGTGATAGTATGGAAATTATTTACATTGATATTGTATATAACTTAAAACTACTTGTAAATTGTACTGGTGCATGTGTTGGTAGGTAAGGGATCAATGAGTAGATTAAGTTAAGAGATTCATGTAAAACATGTGTTCCTAAGAAAATTGAAAAAAGAACAAGTTGAGACAACAGCACAGTAAGAAAGAACAAAATATCATAGCTCACCAAACTAAGTGGAGATAAATGTATGTCTTTTTCAATTGAATCAATTACACGTTTTTATGTTCATTGATTTTTGGTATCTTTTCCTTTTTGAGAGGGGCATGAAAGGTGGAACCTAGTGAAGATTTTTTGAAGACAGCATACAACGTACATTGATATTTTTCATCCATCAATTTTCAAGGCCTACCAACTCCAATCAAATTGAGCTGGTGTATGACGGTAAAACTTCTTAAATGAACTTATTTTATTTTTTCACTTTTTTAGTAACAGTTTATTCGTGTTAGACCAATAAATTTAAAAATTATTTTGATCAGCCATTAAAATATACTACTAGTTTGATTTTTTTAATCGAAAAAGCTACTTTTTCAAACTCAGATAGCTTTTGCTACCCAAAAGTAGTTCCTTTGTTTACAAAAAATTGGTCAAACAACTCTTCTTTTTAAAAAAAAGGAAAAACACTTTTAGAGAAAAATAAGCTTGGGCAAACCGGGACCAAACGAGGGAGGCGATCCCCAAATCGGCTCAGTTCGTCGGACTTTTATCTAATCGAAGAAATGGCAAAATTGCACCAGTAGACATAAAAACACAGTAAAACCTATACTCACAAAGAAATTTTATATTTCGTCCAACTTCGCTGTCGATTTGAACAACGTCAATTGCGATGATTATTGGTAACAATCGGAATAGTACTTATCAAATTGGAACCAGAGAAGCTGGTTGTGATGAGTTGCTGTTGGTGGCAGTGCTACTGCTCGGATTATTATTTGGCAAATCGCAGGCGCAATGCTGAATTTTGTCGCATCCATTGTAAATTGCATCTCTAGTTTCTCCTACTCATCTCTTCATTTTTTGTTTTTGGCCAAACTTTTAGGTCCAATTTTTAGTAACAGGTTATAAGATTAAAATATTTTTTTATAGTAAATTTTAATTTTTTTTATTTTCTTAATCAAATATATATTAAAACATTTTATAAAATTTAAGTTTCATTTTTTGAGAGAAAGGTCAGAGATATTTTTAAATGATTCCTAATAGGTTAATTTAACCCTTCATTACTTTTTAGGATAAACACTATCTCCAAACTCAAAAGTATGTTTCTTAAAAAGGGTCAATTTTACCTTTAAATTATTTGTAAGCTCTTTTCTCCAACTTTTAATCAAAATCAAGGAAAAAGGGGTCATACATAATTATATGTATTTCATTGTAGAAAAAATAAATCTTGCATAGTTTAATAGCAAATACAATAATTTATAGTATGCACTTGACAAATTGAATTGTTTTAAAATAATAATAAAAAAAGTTGAAAAGGTTCAATACACCATTAAACAATTTTAAAAGTTCAAATATATTCTTGAATAATTTTTTTAAAAAGTCTAATATATCTCTGCGTGGCTTCCATCATAAGTGTAAGGGCAATATTTTAAAACTTTGAATTATTCATGAGTATACCTAAGATAACAAAATAATATTAAGAATATAGTAACAACACAAAGAAGACACTTAAACAAATGCATGACTTAAAATATAATAATAAATAACTCTGTCTAATAAGAATGGACTGAACTCAAAAGTAATGATGAGTAATTTGTTATAATAAATTAAATTACTGTAGTAATATTAAAATTCTTTACAATATCATTATATATAGCATAAATACTTGTAAATTGTAATGGTGCATGTGTTGGTTGGTAAGAGGTTTGACTTGAGATCTGAATCAATGAATCGATTAAATTAATTTAAAAGATAGTATGCATAATTATATAAGTTTATTTTTCATTTTCTCATACAATCATTGATATTCATTTTGAAATTTAACTAATTCCAATTCATATTGAGAAATCTTATTTTGAGGTAAAATATTAACTTATAGAGTTGAAATTTGAAGTCTTTATTTAAAAATAAAAGAAACATTTACTATTCTATTATAACTTTTGGTAATAGGTGAATTATAAGATATTTTTCTTACTTTGAATTATAGAGATGAAGCTAAAATTTAATTTATGAGTTAAGAATTTTATTTTTTTAACAATCTAAACATATTAAATAAATTTTTCAAAATAAATATAATATTATATTTAAACTAAAGTTACTTCTTTTTTTCGCATGAAACTTATTTGAATTAAGAACAAAATACACATGAATACAAATACTAATAAAGAAAAAAAGAGAAGAAAATAAGGAGATAGGTGATGATTATTGATAAGGTTAGAGTGATGGGCTAATAGTCTTGTGCAACGACAGTGGGTTCACCTCTGTCAAGTTGGTGATAGAAATTCTTAGATCTTTTCTGCATATCCCAATGCCGCATCTTAAAAGCACCACCTGCTGCAAATGCCAACACAAATGCAATTACTAAATCCTTGATAAGCATTGGACCTCCCAGCTGGATGTGTTGAATTGTTCCTCCCATTTTCCAATTCATAGGAATGTCATACAAACTAGAGGATTCACCCACGAGGCCTGGGTTCGAATCTAGGCAGAGTGTTTATTTCACTATTCTTAGAGTCATATTTGAGTTAAGCTAATATTGATGCACTCAAAGACTTCAAATCATGGGTTCGCCTCTGTCTTCATCCATCCAACGCCCCCAACCCCTGTACCTTGACCACTCCATCCCTTGCCATGCCCGAGGCCCCCCTCCTATCCTTATATATAGTGTTTTGCTTGATTACATATAAATAATGTTGATAACACAATTTTTTGTTTACCTCACTGTGGAAATGCTGAAAACTAAAGTTACTGAAGGTATGAATTCGATCTATTTTCATACTTAATTATTGTCGATTTCAATTGTCATAATCTCACAGAGCCAAGGCCCACGCTTTCTTTTTCTCTTTATTTTGGGTCGTTTTCAGTTTACTTTCTTATTAATTGCAATAATTATTTATCTGTCATATAATCGGTCCTAATAAAATATAGTAATCTCTCTGTTTTAAATTAATTAGTTTGATTTGACTGAAGTTTAAGAAAGAAGATGTTTGTGTAATTACGGGTTATAAATCATTTTATTAAGAATGAAATAGATATTTTAAAGTTAAATTATTACTAAAAATATAAATATATTATTCTTTTTTAGATTGACTAAAAAAGATGATGGGATATGGTGGTTGAAAACTAACGGACACAAATGTAATTTTCAACGTAAAGAAATGCAAGGATAGAATAGTTGAGCACTACTTCTACTATCATCATGTGACCTCCCACTTGATATTTTATTCTCAACTACCAAATCAATTACTTGGTTAATCACTAAGCTGATATTAATAAAATCCTGATGATTTTAACGATTCTTTAAAAATCGTTAACATGAACACGTGGAAGTGATAACACGTATTCAAGTATCAAATGAGACAAAAGGTTATCATATCGTTAAAAGATATAATGAGATGAATGAAATCATGGCTCTTAACAAAAAAATTAAGGGATACTATTATTTTATTTGTATTAAATTTTTTAAAATTATTTAACTTGTTTCTAAGTTTGATGAACATCAAAGATGTGATTGACAAGTTTGACCTCTCAGGCGTTTCATGCAGCTCATATTCGTCATTCCAAATTAAAAGGAAAGAAGCTTAATCGAAATAAATAATACGATTCTTTTTCTTTATGATCGATTAATATAAATTTCAATCGCTTCAAATTAAATCACTTTCTACTCGACAATAACCCTAAATTAACTAGCTCAGTTCATAATAATACTGGTAAAGGAATGCATAGATGCTTCATACTAGAAACCAATTCTAATTTCTAGCACTAGAAAGAGAGAAACAATCAACTACCTACTAACAGTCTATTATAATCCTTGACTTCCATGCTCTCCTATCTAGGATCATATCCTCAATGAGCTAAAAATCTATTATGTTATGTCTAATCACCTCTCTCCAATTCTTCCTCAATCTACCTCTCCTCAAACTTACTACTGTCAATCTCTCACAACTCCTCATTGGAGCATCCATGCTCCTCCTCTTTACGTGCCAAAAATCAAGACGTGACTGTGACTTCACTAGTTATCTGACATGACAAAATACTTTGATTCCATTGCAAAACGAAAGTATGTAATGTTACTTGATTTTCAAATACAAACTTGAAGCATCTCTCATGAGATACAAGTCCTGGCCTACACTAATCAGCTGAGCAATTACAAGAGGATCAGCACTAACATTGCAGTTGATTTAACAATCTGCATGCACTAGGGAATTTGCCATTATTCAGTATTTAACTAAAGGCGTAAAGATTTCACTTCATTCATGAATGATAGTATCCGGGACTCATCCTTTTGGATGCCATCCTGTCCGCATATGCCACTACTGACATCCACTCCATTGGGTTTAAGAGCAGAGAGAGCTTCACAAACATTCTCCGGGTTAATTCCTCCAGCCAAGAGCCATCCATGTTTGCTTCTAATTGATGGTAGCTTAAACTGAGCCCAATTAAACCCTTTGCCACTGCAAAAGTATGTCAGTACTGTTAGTGGTTTGATTCCTATCTCATCAGATTCAGTATCTCGGCAATGCTAAAGTTACAATAAACAAGTTTGTTTTGGAACGAATGAATCCAAAAAAGGAGTTTAATCATACTAGCCAAATGTAGTTACATCTTTGTCAATTATCTCCATATGGGGTGGGATTAAGCTTAGTCTAAAAGAGAGTGCATGATTACATACACAGCCATGCCAATGGCAGGTTTATACATAAGGAAGAACTGTACCTGCCACCTTTGGCACTGTCCACTAGAATCCAATCAACCAGAGAAGACTCCTCATCCGAAACAGAGTTCAAAAGGCCTCCCTCTTCATTTGCATGAAGAACGTATACTAAACGTTTCTCTCCGACTAAAACTGGAAAAGCATCTCGAGAACCATTTCCATGAAGCTGCTCAATTTGAATGTAATGTGGATTTGAGTATTGAAAACAAGAAATTCGTAATGGTGAAAGATAGACAGTTCCTCACCTGCACCAATTCAAGGTCTGCTGCATCAGAGCACCTTAGTATTGTGTCAGCATTATCATCTACAAACACACCAACTGGCTGAGCTCCATAGTCCCGTGCAACCTTCGAGATTTCCTTTGCAGTAGAAAGTGAAACGGAACGTTTTGAGTTAGGCCATATGATCATACCAATAAAATTGGCTCCAGCTTCTGCTGCAAGAGCAGCATCTCTAGCTGATGTAATTCCACACATTTTGACTAAAGTCCTACTTTCTCTTTGCTCTGCTTGAGCCGAGACCCGTGCTGACTGATTTAAGGTGCACATAAATCTGTTCCTGGAGGAAGTCCTCAGTCGTGCTCTATTTGTAGTGTATACTTTTACATCGAATAGACCTGTAAAAAGAAGCTTTGGCAAAAGAATGATGTATCATTTCTATCATATTGTACTTCAACTAGAACTCTGTACCAGTTTTAAAAGAATCTTAAGGAAAAATCATAATAAGTTACTTTTCAAAACACCTATCAACTGCAAATTTGCATCTTTCCACATATTGGTAATAAGAAATAGAATATGAGAAGGTCAAAAAGAAAACTTTCTCCGTAAGATTAAAAAAACTCAAGAAAAAATGAAATAGTGGAAAAAGCAAGCAAGCTTAACTCGAGAATAAATGTTTAGGTGTAAGCTTCCTATCCCAGTCCTGGTTCGCTTCTCTCTTTTGCTTGTGTGAAAAAAGTTAAAAAGGACAAACAGAATAAGTAATAGTTGTGGTGATTTCTCCTTGGTCTTCACATCACATGCTTTCTCAAGAGAATTCAAGGTCCTACAATTTCCTACTTATTATCTCCTGAAATTACAGATTATTTCTAACAAAGGTTTACTCTCTTTTTCTTGTTTTCTTTTTCTATTTCCGTTTAGGGTGGGGGTACTATAAGTGCAAAGAATGCCCATATAATCCAAACTTCCACTTACCTTGATTTCTGGGAATGCCTATTACTCTTGGTTGAAGCTGAGCTCCCATGTTGAACACTGAAAAACACAGAACTATGGCTAAGACAAATTAAATAGCAATGTTATGTGCTCTAATGCCACTCAGACAAATTATTAAATAAGGACCTCAGAAATTGACAGAAGTAGATTTTTGAGAACATTAAACAAATTTTATCTGCTAAATAACAGCTCTTAGGAAAAGTAAATATCATAATGGCACGTCCACGGGGAATACACTTGCTTCTTTGTTTATGTAAAAATAGGAAGAGCTTTCAAGGTGATGGATGATATGCACTTTGATAGAGATCCAACGCTCTTTTGCACACTGCACTGAGGAACACCCCACATCTCTTAAAATCTAAAATCTACTATTGGTATCAGGATGAGACGACACTTGTATAACTTGACAGTTAGATGTTGTCTATTGCTTCTCATACACTGACACACTCTTGGAGCTCTGCCATATTAGAAAAAGTGTATTTTTAAAGAAGGATGAAGAGAAATATAAGGTAATGCAGAACCTGAGAGCATCATTTCTTCCTAATTCCGTTCTACCACTGTAGTGCTATGCAAGAGAGGAGAAATGCCGTGAAATAGTCCTGCTACTCATCAAATTTAGGAACTGGCCAAACAGAGGAATTGCTAACACATTCTAATAACTAGACTAGTCATCTTATACTAGTTATTCAACAAAGAAACCCAATTAACATATAAGCAACTAAAATCCAGACACTGCAAAGCAACATAGACCATAAAAAACATGGAGATATCCAGAGCATTTCAATACATGATTAAAATCTAGAATAAGTACAAAATAGATAGAAACAAAGGATATCTTATGTTTGTTCAGAATCTAAGGGGTCGTTTGATCTGGGCTTTGGAAGAGCTAATACCCACAGATAAAAATGATCAGCATAAGCTTATAAAACGATCGGTCGGGATTTGAGAATAATTAAATTCCATGTACAAAACAGCATTAATTGATAGACCATTGGTTGCTCCTTTTTGTTTTCCTCACAAATAATACCTGCATAAGTTATGCGGGAATTTACGTATTATTTTATGCCGGATAGAATGTGAAATAAGAATGTGGATATCAGAATACAACGCTTCAGTCCCAAACAAGTTGGGCACGGATAATAGTAATCGATTAGAAATGCTAAAATGACAAAATTAACCCTCACAATAGTAAGAATTTTTTTACGTTATTTAAAAAATAAAATATTTTAAATGATACATTGTATAATAATATGTAAAATATCAAACTAAACATCATAATCCCTACATTATGCAATCCTTGCATTACTACTCCCTAAATTACTAATCCAGACATAACTTCAAAGAACGGTTTAAAGGAATTGAATGGAGGACTAAACGTACGAGGCCAATTATAAGCCAAGATGGGTTTCCTCTCTTTGAGTAATTTATAATGCATATTCAGTGGGCAAGTTTGATCATATTTGGATGTCAATCCCTATAGAAGTAAGCCTATCGACCTTGAACAATAGTGGCAGGTCATTGTACTTATGGAAGAAATGGATTCCAATTGTGGTAGGACAGGTTCATGGAGTTGTACTATTACTTGTTTTAGGAGGGATTGGTGATACTATGTAATCCAAAAGAGAAAATAGTTGTGCACAGATACTTGTCACAGCCATTGACATTGTATAGATGAGAAATTTTTTCAAGATAGCATTTTCTTCATGGAGATACTAATTGACTCTCTGAAAAAGACTGATTCTATCATTCTACAGATACTACTAACAAAGAGTTAATTCTGAACACTTCAAATCCAAAGGAAAAGAATTTGCAGACTTACAAGAAGATCGAAATGAATTGATGAAATGCTATTGATTGAGCTGAAGTTCCAAGAACTAGAAGAGTCAGGTATGCAATCTTTTCAGGGTTATCAATTCAGAAGATATTGTTGCATTCCTAGAATTGATTTGTCGAATTTGTTAATTTCTAAGGTTGGAAGGAAATGTCTACAAGAATTTCTGACATTCCTATTCAAAACAATGTGCAAGCTTGACTTACAAAATGCACATAGTATCATTAGCCAAATGTACCTAGTACAAGATAGACAAGTTGTTTTGCTCAATTTGTTAATAAGATGCTTGCATTTCCCTTTTGATTTCTGCCTTTCGTTTTCGACATAGACATAAACTTCAGATAACTAGATAAGCCAACATTAATTTGTGAACTCAAGAAGAAACAACTATCCTTTCTAAAGCTACATGGAATCTCATCTACTTTATGAATTAAATTTCCATGGTCCAACTTCTCTTCTAACAGCACACCGATAGTTCTTTGTAAAATTTATTTCCAGTTTGAGAATGAACTAAAAATACAGCATGCTTGTTGTCGCCAATGATACATCAATCGTTTACCCAAAATAATAAATTAAGCATAAAACAGTAGCAATAAATCAGATGATACATCAATCGTTTACCCAAAATAATAAATTAAGCATATAACAGTAGCAATAAATCATTCCAAAGTTTGAAAGAATGGACCTTTAATAGCCAATTCCAATATATTCAACTCTGCGTCGAGTCAAAGCAGGGCAACCTAAAAAAAAATCTCAATCAAAAATCGAGCCGGAGTTACAAACGGAAACCCGATAAAACGCGAACCACAAAGAGATGGGTTCTTTGGTTACAGAGGAATGAACCGATGGTAGTTGGACTGATTTTCACCGGTAATGGAGATGGAGAACGGCGTACTGTGTTGCTGACTGAAGGTGAGAGCCACCGTATTCAGTCCCTTCGATATCTATATCGGCTAATTTGTGATTGGAATTATTTAAATCAAATGTTCGAATTATTTTTACAATATAAAGTTTCAATAATTAATTTTGTGATTCTCTCGTGTTCAAATTTGATTAGAACTCATGATTTTATTTTTTAATTATAAATAGATAAACTCATTTATCTACGGGGTTTTGAACACCCAAAACTAGTTTTTTCTAATCTAGAAAATATACAAGATTTTCGAATACTAGCAAAATTTATTTAGGGGTGTGCAAAAACTGAACCGATCGATAAATTGATCGAAAAAGGTGTTATTGATTTATTATTATTGGGTTATTGGGTTAACGGTTATTTAATGATTTTATTAAAAAAAAATTATTAGGTTATCAGTTCGATATTGATTTTTTAATATTGAGTTATTGAGTTAACCGATAACCCAATAAAAATAATAATTTATTATTTTAATTTTAAGTCATACATAAATATCAAACAAAAAATATTAATATAATCACTATATTAGACTATAACTATAAGGACCCTGCACAATTAACATTACTTAATTAACTATGTTCTCTCCATTTATCCTTTAGGTTTTAGTATTACTTTAGTCTTTAGGTTCACAACGTCAAAAATCTAAAGAACTAAGAACGACAACAACAAAGTTTAGGCAACGACTAGGGTTGTGAATTACGAGTATTTGATATACTCTTACTACAATTAGCAGATTTTTTGCACTCAATGAGTAATTAGATTTCTCTCTTTTTTATTTCGCGTTAAATTGCTGGAGAAGTCATATATTTGTTTTGAAATCATTTTCTTATTGGTTAAACCGAAAATCGAAACGTTAAAGACCAAAACCAATAACAAATATTTTATTGGTTTGGTTTAGTTATCGGTTTAGCATATTTAAAAAGCGAAAACTGATAAATCGAACCGATACTACTTAAAACCAAGCCGAACCGATTTCAAGTATTGACAAAATAATTTGATTATTAATATGAAATTTTTGAAAAATATTACAAAATTAGAGTCTGATCTATTGAAAATATTTATTTATGCTTCAAAAGGCATTGACTTGAATTATATTCTAGCAATATATTTATATCTTCTAACATATATTTCTGAAATAATAATAACGTTATTTTTTTAAGATAATTTTTTTTTCGATTCATAAAAAAATTGGAAATATTTTTAAATTATGTGAAGTTGAACAAAAATGCTTCTAATTAATATTTGATCCCAAAATGCCCTTGTAATTAATAGGTTGATCCAAAATGTTTAATATTATGTTATTTAAATGGATCAAAAATGTGTTTTTACCTATTTTCCCTTTTAAATATATTTTACTATTACATAATCAAATTCGAATTTCTCTTTTTTTTTTAATGCTTTAACTAATAACTAAGGAGATTTTTTTTCCTTCAGTCTCATTTTAACATTATGACTAAGAATAACTTCATCCACTTTTTTTCAACTGATAGCATAAGTAATATATATAAAATCATAGTATTTTTATCATTAATTTTTATTTAGACAACAATAATAATATAATAAAATAAAATTATTGTTATTTCTTAATCTTTTACGAATTGAAGGAGGATAAATATTTTTCAACTAAATAATATTTTTATTTTATTTTCTTAGTGGTACGTAAATTTTAAATCAAACTATTGATTCAAGTAATTTTTTTTAATATCACATGATTTAAAGATATTTTTAATTTTTTTTCATATAAAGAATAAAAGAGCATGGATATCAGTTTTAGACTCATGAAGTCAAATTGTGTCACGTAGCCACCAGATCTATCCGTGTGCACCTTATCAGTTTGCCACGATTTTATATCCTCACGAATTTTCTATGCTTTGAACAGTACCCCTAACAATTAACATATGTTGTCACTTGTTGACTTCTTGGAAATGGAAGGTCATAAAAATTAATGTCTCCTAGATGAGAAACATTGAAAACTTATGCAAAGATATTATCCCTAATCCCATAATTTCTTCTTATGACAATTTTATTTAAAATAATTCTTTAATACAAGAAAATTAGACTAACTTCATGGTCATGAATTAAGGAGTTCAAGGAGGAATTAAGAAGAAGAGAACAACCTTTATTTTAGTCCAAATTGCAATAACTTATACACGTATCTCAATTAATTTGAAATAATATCTCACACTTTACGATCTTTCATTAATAATATATTATGTAATTTTATTCGCCATAAGTACTAGCACAAATTCTTCCACCAACAATAAGTTATTATGTAACTCTATTCGTCAAAGATTAAGAGAGACTGAAAATCCAATACTGATATTCATTATGTGTGGATAATAATTAACACATCAGTATTCAATAAGTAAAAGGTAGGAAGAGCAAAGATCATATAAAAAAAGAGCAAAAACTAACAAGCAATTTCTTTTTTGTTCAAATCCAAGGAAGAAACTTGATCATCAGTAGTATCCATATTTTCAGCAACCCAAGCCAAAGATCTAAGGTTCCATCTCAAAATATTATCAGTCACCTCACATGTATCATCTCTACAACTAATTTCTGGAATATCCACAACATATGACTGAATAGCCACTGTCTTATAGTAATTACCAATTATATGATCTTCTTTTTCTTGATGATCTTCTTGTTTATCCTCATGCAAAGTGATAGTAGATTTGAAATTCAAGAAGCTATGATCAGCATCAAGAATACTAAACACACTTACATGCATATCATCATCAAGAATATCCAATCTTTCTATGCTTTTTTTACCAGGAAATCCAGAAACTAAGTTCACTTCTCTTATACTACCAACACCACCTTCACCAGAGATTAGTGTGCAGCTACTAATGAAATTCTTGTAACATTGTGGCTTGTCAAATTTTCTCACTAAAGACCATACTAAAGGAAGTGGTGCATCAATGACTTGGACTAAAAATGAAGAACATTGTCTTGGTGAAAGTTCATGAGTGTGTTGAAGTTTGATCATTTCTTCTAAAGCTTTTGAGTTTTTTGGTTGATTTGTACATAACATGATTGGATATTGTATGCATGTGAGGTTTGAGTAAATGTTTCTTTGCTCCATAGTGGATTTTATTGTTTTGCTTTTATAGAGGGTGTGCTGAAATTTTATTCGGTGTGCATTCGAAGAATAGCGTTTTTCGAGGTTCTATACTAGAAGTATCTAATGCGAAAGTTCGAGAAGTAGGCGGTTTTGGTTCTGTGATGAGGATTTAGTCCAACAAGAAAAAATAGACGTAATATATTTCATGTCTTAGGTCACATATAGGGTCGATCGACTTGCTAGTTTTCAAGTTGCCTATTTTGTTGCAGAAATTCTGCACTAAAGTTACAATCATCCTTGGATGCTTCTTAGAGGTTTCTTATTGCACTTTTTATCCGTTAAAGTATATTTTATCGTTATCTCATACTTTTTTCTAGTACTCCGTCGTGATTTCTTATTTAAAGGATTTAAACTAAGCTTTGACTATGAATAAATGAATACTTATTACTTTATCTAAAAAAGATATATCATTTTATTATCACTATAGATAATTTAGCTTTTAGATTTATATTTTTACTCTTAATGAATAAATAATTTACTGTCACATAAATATTTTAATATTATTTTAAATCACAAATTTTAAAGTATTTTTTCTTAAATATAGTTCCAAATTAAACAATTTCACGGACTAATATTTAAGTATTTTTTTTATAATAAAGGTGGGTGATGTATACGTGTACTCTTCTGGAGCTGCCACGTACTCAACTGAAGTTGTTGAATGGCAACTTTTCAAGATCTTACTTCAGAAAAAGCACTGTCATTTGTCTCATTTTTTAACCGGCTAATAATTGAGCTATATTTTATTTTTTTCTCTAAAAAATAAGGTCTTACTGTCCCTGAATTGGAATCCAGGTTAAAGAAATTAGATTGTGATGTCAATATCTTTTATTCACATATTTTGAAACTGTAATCATCGAGTAAGATTTAAGAAAAAGTTTAGTTCTTTAGTTGAAGTAATAGTCCAGTTTTTGGTTCATGTATTATTAATTAAACTAAATATATTTAACTTATTAAATTAAACATGTAAAATTTGATCAAGCACTAATAGGGGAGTTTTTTTTTTCATTCGGTGTCTGATACCGTATTGAAGTATTGAAGCCATATTATTCTAGATTCGCGTTATAACTTGTATAGGGTCTCATTGGAAGGGAAGCACTCATGGTAAAGATTTGTTTATACCCAAAGCTTGAACATAGACCTCTGATTAAGTGAGGAATAACCTTATCGACTACATTACATCATTTAATGTCAGAAAGAGCCGGAGACGGGATTTTCCAAAAATAAATCTGAAAATTCACAAATTAATGATATTCCGAAACAAACGTAGCCGTTTGTTTTCTCATAATATAAAAAAAGTACTACTATACTAATAATTTCAAGAAAGAATTCGTTGTCCTTTGAGTGGATGACGTAGAAACAAAATTCTTTATACTTTTTACAAACGGAAAATATAATTGGCAAGACAGATTTTTGGCACGAAATGACACGAGCAACAAAAATAAGGTATTTTCGTAATTTTGGTGAAAAGTTAAGGGCATTTGGGTAGATTTATTTATTTCGTGTACCTAAATTACCCTCAAAAGTAAAACCACTTTTAATACTTTTAAAACTACAACTGTTTAAAACTTAAACCACTTCTGAAAAGTCCAAGTTGTAATTATTATTTATTTTACACTGCCCAAGAAATTTTTATTTAATTTCATACTTTATTGAGTTTTTTCATTTTTTTTGGGTAAGGTTTACTTCTATTTCTACCAAGTCTGGGTCTCCATAAGTTGTCATTTTAAATAGCGTTTTTTTGTTTCCTTTTCGTTCATAATTTTAATTTGGAATAATAAATCAACGACAAATCCGAGTTGATTAAACTACCTTTGTTCAAATATATTTGTTTTTTGTCAATTTTTTTCTTCATTCACAAGAACCCTATATTTAAATATATCAATCTTCTATATAGGGGTGTACATGGTCGGGTTGGTTCGTGTTTTTCAAATATCAAACCAAACTATTTGTGTCGGATTTTTAAATCTACAAACCAAACCAAACCAATAAAACTCGAGTTTTTCAACCTCGGGTTTTTTTGGATTTTTTCGGGTTTTTCGGGTTTTCGGATTTTTCCGCTAAAGTATTCATATAAACATATAATTTACTTGTACTTCAAAAATTTCTCCAGTCCTACCAAAATACAACTATCTAAGGTGTTTCTTAAGAATACAACACAAACAATGACATGATTAATGACACTAAAATATTTGAAAAAAATAATAATAATGAAATTGCGTAAAATAAATATTGCAAATTAACAAGTCATAATGAAAATGATCATAATTTAAAAGTACTAAATCATGCTAAAATAAGTTTAATAAGTATTAGTTACATGACTAAATATTAAAGAAAATTAAAATTAGATTATGTACTTTAATTGTCTAAACCAATGTAAAACCAAAGAACAAATATTCAATATTATTATCATTCTTAGTGTTAAATTGATTTTATTTTTGCATTAGTATTAATTTGATTTTGATTTAAGTTTTATTATAATTACCAACATTTATGGACTATAATTTTTATAGAACTATTCAAAATTCTAAGTTTCACACTTGAAATAATATATTAAAAGATAAAAACTATAAAAAAAGTATAAGAAATATTAAAAAATTATATCAAAGTAAATATTTTTATTTATAAAATAAAATTTTAAAATTATATATATAATGTCGGGTTGGTTTTTTTCAGTTAAAATCAAACCAACCCAAATATAGTCGGGTTTTTTTTTTCAACACCAAACCAACCATTAGTCGGTTTTTTTTTTTGGTTTGACTCGATTTGTGGTTTGATTCGATTTTCGGTTCGATTTTGTATACCCCTACTTCTATATATTGTAGTTGACAAGAATGTGCAAGTTTGACCATTTGACTTAGTGATAGTTTATACCGTAAATACAAATGGTTGAATATTGAAATATTCCAATGAAGAGTGAAATTAAGCTACAAAAGTATTGTGGAGTCATGTTATTTAAAGAACTATATATACTTATGTTATAAATCCAACAACAAAATGAATTCTTGATCAACAAATTAAAATAAGAACGGATGAGAGTGAAGAGTGAAGTTAAAGGAGATAAAAAGAGTAAAGTAAGAGAGAGAGTAAATTATTATTAAAATGTCAAAGGTGATTTTCTTTTTTGGAGGAAAATACAAGCGGTTTTGAAGCCAAAGGGACAGTTTTATTATTTATCTGTGTCTTGGCAATTCGTGCCAAAATTCTGTCTTGCCAATTAGCAGTACTCCTTTTACAAATTTGTACTACTGTTTCTTTTCTTCTTCTTCTTCTTCTTTTTTAAAGAAAAAAATAAAATAAATTAATGGTAAAAAAAAGAGATTTAAAAGAGAATTAAGATGTAAGTAAATCAAACTTTCGTAGGTGAAAATTTAAATAAGCAATCACCTTTCTACTAAAATTCATCATAAATTTGTGTTGGTTCTAAATTTAAAGTTTAAAATGGAAATTATGCCATGGTCAAGTTCAGTGGTGGAACTAAGATTTTTAATAAGGATGTTCGAAATTTGAAGAACTGAACACAACAATTAATCGAAGGAGATTCTACATCTACTATATATACATAATTTTTTTTTAATCATATATAAAAAGTAATATTTTCTGTCGAAGGGGGTTCGGATGAACCCCTAACAAAAGTCGGGCTGTCCAACTTCTTCTTTAATTAAAAAAGAAAGAAAAAAATAATCGTACGCGGCACGATCACGTTGTACCCCTAAGCATTACACTGACTAATAAATATAGCAAGCTACTTGACAACTAAGAAAGGAAAAACATATAAAAATAAGGATGTTAAATAGGTGAATTAAATTGAATTTAGATAAATTATAATTATTTCAGCTGAAATGAATTGAGCTAGAAAGTGACTTATAACTCAAATGATTAATTTTTATTAAGTTGTAGTTAATTTATTCATTCTGTATGTAATTATTTTAGTATTTAATTTTTTTCTTTATTATAATTATACATAACGTAGCAAATGAAAATATATTTTGTTAAAAGATAGTTTGACGAATAATTCATAAAACAATTTGAGCTGCGTACATACTAGCTCAACTTTAATGAACCAAACTAATAAATTAGAGAAATAAAAATCAATCAAAACTTAAAGCTAAATAAGATGAATTATATTTTTATGATTTAATGTTAACACCCCTGCATATACATGTGAAATAAAACAGGGTACGTTGTATTCTGAATGATTATGCCTCTAATGTTTTAGATATATAAAGTTAAACAATTAATCATAAAATTTCAAATACATTTTCTATATATTTTGTGAGATAATGAAAATTAATTGAATTTGACAATATATGTCATTTATTTAGTAAATATTAACTTGCTAAGTGTCACTAGTTTGGATCAAGACAAGACAATAATTTTGCAGAATTATTAACAACTCGATGTTTACTGTTACGACTTCTTATTTTTTTGCTACATTATTAGATCCAAAGTTATTTGATTTGTGAATTCTTGCATGACATTAGTGTTTTTATGATTTTAAATTTTTTTGGCCAACTATTAAAGTTATATACAATTTCAGTCGAACTTTGAAATGATGAATACATCAACATAAAATTTATATCGATACATGTATAAATCAATTTTAGGATCCACTATACTTTTATCTTACAAAAGTAAAGGTCATAAATTAAAAATGCTTTGATCCATAAATTTTCATTAAATAAGACATAAGCAATGCACGATCAAATTTACTAAAATTTTGTTTGTAAATATGATTAAGCATATTCAACTTTTAATTAATCTGTTTGATATTGTAGAAAATAGGGACAATGCATTAATTAGAAATAATGAGATTGAATGAGTGACAGTTATAACGAGATCCAAAAAGTGGTAGAAGTGAAGCAGAA